GATCGTCACACGGCTCAAGTTCGTGCTCTGAAAGAAGGATATAAGGATATATTAATGAAATTAAAAAATTGTAAACAATATATAATAAAAATACTTTTCTTTTGCTTGCATTAAAAATATAATAATTTAAATTAACAACAATTTAACAATTTATTCTTAATTAATTTGAATACTTATAACAATTATAATAATAGAATTGGAGACATGCCAGCAGGGTAATGGAGAGTTGTTGGGGGTGGGAGAGGTGGATGGACTGAGCCAGCACAAACATTATCATGTTGGTGTTTGGGAATTACATATTTCAGTTCATCTCTAAAGCCGGTGCCTTGATCTGAACTTTATCATGCTTCTTATTGTAAGTTTAAAAAAAATTAATTAAATCCTTTCTGTTAATTAAGACAAATTAAGGAAGGGGTCCTATTTCCAATAGAAATCTACAAATTAAAAAGATAAATTAGTGAAAGGAAAAAGTTTGTAATCAAATTATAAAACATACATTTAAAAGCGCCTTTAACTAATAGTACTATTACTTTTTATTTCCTGAAAATGTTGCTTATGCAATTAATCCATTCTATAGTTCGCTCTGCTTTCATCTGTAAAATAAATAAAGAACTTAATTTTAAACATTAGTTGGCAACCAAGTTATAAAACGTACATTTCAAGCAGCACAATATTATTATCATTTAATGGCTGTTATCCGATTGTATTAGATAAAACTTAGTTTTATGTGAGCCATCAGCTAAAGAAACGCACAAACTTTAAAATTGTTGGAGCAGCCGCAGTACAGTCTCTGTGATTCTTATTTCTGTGTCCCGGTAATTCCGTCATTATATTGATCTTTTACATAGAAAGTATTTAAAACCATACATTTTTATTTGATACGATAGTGTTGCACTTTAACTTTCGTATTTGCGGGAACACCATTTAGTAGACGACAGCTCGGCTTGTGCTGATCGTTCACGAGCATTAACTGTTTGTTTAGCGTGGCTACCATTCCAGGACATTTGTTCTTTTTGCTCGCAGCACAGGGCCAAATAACCTTTCCCTTGCGCGCATAGCCATAGGCATAGACGTGGCCCTGATAGAGCAGCTGGCGATGCGCATTAAAACTGTAGCTAGCTGAAAAATAAGAAAACGAATTAGTGATGAAAAACAAGAGATTAAAAAGTTCTTATAGCTTGACTGGGAATCAATAAAAAAAACAATAGGCACAAATGTTTACTGCCGCTTTGGCACATTACAGAGGAAAAATAAAAGCTCTAGGCTTACATTAAAGGAAGTCAACATCTAAACTACCTCTTGAAAAAAAGAGAGTTGGTTTGGCAGTTTTTAAGAAGTCTCTATTTCTAAGCTTCGCTCGAAGTCAATGAAACACTCTAGGCACAAAGGTTTTCTGCCGCTTTGGTGCCGGATGATTGTGTCGCTGACGCACGCAGACAATTTCCTTATGCCGTGTGGTCAGAGTGGCGGGGCAACGCAACTTATTGTAGAGCGCACAACGCCAGAAAACCGTGCATTTGGGTCCATTGCGTGTGTGGCAGCTGTAGGCGAAGCGTTCGTGCACCAATTGGCCCCGATAGTTGTAGGTAAGCACGCCAGCTGTAAGAAACAATAGGCATGTTAGTGGCAAATCAAATCAAATAAAATTCAATTGCATACGAACCTAATTATATGAAATTAATTACAGATACTGTATCAATTATAAAACACTGATTTGTTTTATATAACAATTTTTGTTTAATTTTCTAAACCTAAGAGCGAATTACTTACTTTTTCGACAATATTTACTTTACAGAACGTACAAATCAAGACATATATGTACATAACTAGTCAAATTGTAAGCTGCGTCTCTGACTTAGCTGTTTCACTCAGCGAAACAGCGACAAAAAAGTGTACATTAAATATGATATTTACTTAGAAAATAAATTGCACTATTTTAGACAGGCGCCCTCCGCCTTTGCCGCCCTCTTCACTCCTCCATTTAGTCGTGAATGAGCATCAGAGAGGTGTGCATCAGTTCGTGCTCTGCTAGTTGCAAGGATGCGGCATCGGCGGCCACAGTGCCAGCTGTTAGTTGCATGTGTTGATGCAACTCTACCAATTGAGTGTGCTCCTGTTCCTGCTGCTGTTGTTCCTGTTGGTGGATTTGTGTTATCACTGGCTGGCGTCCCAGTTTGGTGCGACCAGTGCTGAGGGCAGCCAAACGATTGCGTTGTATCATTTTGTCGATCTTTTCCGTGTGCGGCAAATGGTTGTGAAGTCCACCCGTAATGTTCTTCAGCTTACCATTCTCGAGCACGCAGCGGGAGCGACAACGCTGTTCGTGCACCTTCTTCGAGTAGTTGTGACAGCGCCAATATTCCTTATTGCTCTTCCGACTGTGGCAGTTGTACATGTAACCATTCAGCACCAGGCATGGTGTAGCCCAAGGACTCTCGATGAATAGCAGCTCGCCGCCATCTTGGATTTCATTTTAATGTAAAAAGAAAAAAACAAAGAAAGTTTGTTTAGAATTAATGATTGTGTGGTGAGGTCAATAGCTTAAGTTTTACGCTGAGCTTATGGATCTACAGTGAGTTTTAGGCTACGCGTACTTGTCGGGATTGAAGCTTTATTAATTTAAGGTTTGGATACAAACAAGTGTTGAATATTGGCCTTAAATTATCCATTGTGTACGACTGAATAGCCTCCTTCATGGCAATGTGCTCTTAATGGGGAGCTTGTGGACAATATTTTCGATGATCGTTGCTGTTGATATTCCATCGTCCATATCATCCTCGTCTTTTTCATCATCCACCAATGCGCGCATTTCAATCTCATTGGCCTCGGAAGCGGGCACAAACAATTTGCATTCCTTGCCATCCTTGGCCGTCATAATGCTGATGTTGCTGCTGCTCAGGTATTGTGTTATCTTTGGATTCGATGTGCATATCTCAATGTACTCCTCCAGTTCCTCCTCCTGGTTGTAGAGCTGGCGTGCCCCAATCCGACCTCTGTGATCCTCATGGTTGTGCTGCCGTCTCGCATCCACAAATTCTCCATTTTTATTGGTAATTACAACAGCCTTGCAACGCAATTTCAAAACATCGACACATCGCCAGGTAGTCTGACCATTTGCCTGCGTCAGCTTCTTGTTGTATATGTAATCCTTGTAGACTAGTTGTGCATTTTTCTTTTGGCTGCGTATGAATTGGATTTTTCCTGCATTTTTCGCGATTTTGGAATGAATACACAAAAACAACGATTGACAAATGTAAGTAAATGCTGCAAATGCTTTACATTGTATGTAGGGTTTTAAGGCTAGAGATTCTTAGGCGGTAAAGCTTGGCTAAATAAAACAACGCTTCTTCACACTTTGGCGTACAGAAAATTTATTAATGGCAATTGATAAGCTTGTAGGCGTGTTCTTTTTCCTCCAGCTCGGAGATACTCACAAAATGACAGCGTTACTGTACCAACATGGATTTCATATAAATTTAAAGATAAAACATACAGTTGCAGACTCCCTCATCCATTTCTAGTGTTTTGTTATACACACACTGCACAACACAACACTCGTCTAGCACTTAAACAAAACAATTTGTAGCATCTCGGCATTAGAAATACAACTACGCCATAGTGCCTAAGTGTTGCCGTGCAGCATTGCCAACATTCAAAGCAACCCTGGTGTTGCCTTTTTACGGACATTGCGCAGTTTCGTATTTTTTGCAGAGTTGGCAGCACCAATTAAAAAAGCATAAAAATTTCATAGCGATTCGCCTTTATTTTCAATCAAACGGGTTTATAACTACGCACAATCGAAAGGCTAAAAACTATGAACACAGGCATTATAAACTACGCATACAACATACAAGTCGTTATAACGCCACAAAAGTATATACATATATAGATACCAACGCAGTAGCCATTTTACAGGCTTCCTGTCAAATTAACTTGCCCCCAATAACAACTCGTAATCCATTTGGAAGGATTAATCTAACCCTCAATATTAAAATTGATCAAATACATAGTTGAAAAAAAAAAACCCTGAGACTGCCTAAAAATAGACGCAAGACTCGGCAATAAATGCCGTTGTTTTTACTCATCGAACGCAAGCTTTTATGTTGCTTCCAATGGGCAAAACAACATCCTCGTGTTAGTAATGTAAACAACAGAATTCAGCATTGCATGTGTATATGTATATAGGCAACAGTACACCCCAACCAAAGATTTATTATATCAGCGATAAAGCGCACTTCACAAATATAATCTAACTTTGGCATGGTGTGAAGTCAAACGAAAAGAAAGCAACAACTAAAACACTGCAATACGAACTGATACCCACTTCCGCCCATATGCTGTAAAAATGACAAATGATAATGTATAAACAGTATTTTACAAACTTTACCTTCATGGTTACATAGTTACGTCAAGCCAGATATCCTCAAAGCAGCTGCAGTTCCTCGATTCCTCTTCCTTAGTTTGGTTACCAGCCAGTAAAAAAAAATAGCACTCTACTTACCTTTAACTTTGAATATAACTTTTGAAAATCGCGTGAGCAGCCGCTGCGGCATTCATAGATTGCCTTCAGCAGCCGCTCGGCCAAATGCTCTTTTGCGGATTTAGGAATAGAGCAAAGGCACCAACTAATCTACTTAATATTTTAGGTTGTGTGCAATAAATGGCAGCGCTTAAATGTGCATAGATTATTACTTTTGGTTTTACTTTGTCTGGAAAGCGAAGACATCGCTGACAAAACGCTGGAAAACATTTAAACGCTGCCATTAACAACCTGGGTAGTAAACAGTCTGTTTTTGAACTGCACACACAATACGTATAAAACAAATAATTGTGATGGCTCAGATGCTCATCTCGCGTGGCTAATTTAGAGGTGCAACTCACAAACGACTGCCACACCCTTTGGTATAGACTATTTTAGCTTATTCTAGAGACCCATTGGACCCAACGCTCACAATGGAGTGTCGGTCCCACTGGATCAGCATATTGAAAATGCAACCAACCTTGTGCCTCAGCGCTGCCCTGCTCACCGCCGGTGTCGACAAACGATGATTCACTGTAGCTCTGTGATGTTTGTTGCTGTTTGATAACTGCCTTTGATGTGGTAGCTGCAACATTACCACCACTACTCGTGTTCGCCGCCGCTTGAGCACCGCTCGCATCCTCGTTTTCCGTAAAGTAACTATCGTCGTAGCGCATATCGCCATAGGTATCATCCTCAACATAACTAGCCTCGCCATCACCAGCCACTTCACCATGCTCCTCAGTGTAATCGGGTTCCGATTTCGTGGGCAATTCCATAGGGAGATCAATGTATTCCGGTTCAGAGGCGGCTGTTTGCTGTGTTTGTTGGCGGGTTACTTGCTTATCGGCAGCCACTACAGTAGTTTGCACTGTAATCTGTTGTGGTTGTGCGGTCGCAGTCTCAGGGTTCGAATCCAAGGGGTCAATAACGTTGGAGGCGGCGGCGATGCTGGTCTTCGAACGCTTTACAGCTCCGGTGCCAGTTAGGCTGCTACGTTGCGCAGACCGTTTGTTTGTCGACACCAACGTGGCGGTTGTTGTTGTGCCCGCCTGTAGCTGTTGCGTTTGGATATGCTGTGTTGGTTGCTGCTGTTGAACAATTGTTGCTTGAGGGGCGCTCGTCGTCTGTATGACTATTTGGGTGGTGCCCTTCTCATCACCCAGCACATCCTCCATGGTCTCGATTTTGTAGCGCGCCGAGGTGCGCGGCTGTTGGCGCTGAACGCGTTGGGCTGGTACTTGTTGCTGCTGCTGTTGTTGTTGTACGTGAGGTGCGGGTGGTGTTGGGGCAGGCTCCGGTGGGGCCTGAGGCGCTGGATCGTTCTGCAAGTAGGGAAAATATTTTAAGGGTAAGTGGATTTTAGCATATTTACGTTGTAGTTGTCAAGCTGCGTTGTTGCTCAAAAACAAAAAAACAACCACCAGAGCGCGCGAAAATGTAGCGTATAAAAGCGAGACAGCTATATCGCAGAGCGTGCATCACGATCTCGCCGTCTCTGTCCAGCAAATGCATTTTGTATACAAACGAGTGCGGCGTGGGTTCGAGATTTTTCTCTGGTACAGTTATCAAGACAGCTCTTATACCGCCGGTGCTATTTTATATATTACACATACATATATGCATGTATAGTTGTCTGTATGTATTACGCGCGCTTTGGTTGCTTGCTATGGCTTTGGGATACTCACATCGGTTAGCCCCTTAATTTGTAGCGACTCTGCTGTGCTGATGAAAGCTGGTAGAGCATCTTGTTTTACATTAACCTCACCGCAGTACATAAACTGTATGAGGTCCTTCAAAGCCGAATGGCTTACATTGTTTAGAAAAACTGTAAATAAGAGAAAAATACATATTAATTTGCACTACTTATCGTCACTTGGGCGGTTCGACGTCACTTACCGATAGCGTGGGTATTCGATGGCATTTGGGTAAACATTTTGCGGAAAAAAGGCGAGCAGACAGACAACACCAGGCGATGTGCCTTCACGATTTGTCCTTCCGCCGCCAATGAGACATCCACAAGATCGCCACGACATAATGATTCGTGAAAACCAGCGGACAAATTTGTGTTGAAATTATTCCAACACAAACTAAATTGCTCGTCGTCCGCCATCTTGGACGAGAGTAGAAAATCGATATTTGTCTGTATCTGTTTGACGCTAGTGCTGAAAAGAAAAAAGCAAATTAAAACGCAAAATTAAATGTTACTTGTTTATAATGGGTAACAGAGCTGAAATGTCCAAATTGTTGGATATTGTTTGTTTACAATTTGCAGCGTATAGCAGAATAACCAGCAAATGTGCAAACACATCTAAAAAACTGGGAAATTTTTTTCGGTGTTGCCAAAGAAAAAAATTTTGGCTGCCAAATTTGGTCATTTGCTTGCTGCGCCCGTAATATATTTAAATTATATTACGTAGGTTAGATGTTTTACTTACTTTTCTAATATTTTTTATAATAAAATACTGAATTGTGGTCAATCTTAAATTAAAAATTCTTTCTTCGGCGCTGATGACGCGCTGCGAAATGCGTCCAACTTTTTCAACGAGTTATACAGAAATAATGTGTGTGTATTCGGCAACCAGCCCAGGTTCAGCGAGCGATTTGTCGATGCGATACCTTTAGCGTACTCGATATATTGGCGCTGCCGTACTGTTAAATAGTGCTGTTTTGGAGATGCCATGTAGTTGGGAATACGAAATGGCTAATATTGCGGTTTAGTTTAAATAATAAATAATAACTTAAAACTGAAACAAAATACTTAATGCACAATTGAAATGTAAATGGAAGGGAAAGGGATATAACCCTTTACACTACACAAAATATTCATTATTCATGACTTCAATTATAGAAATAAAACAATATTTCGCTCAGAATATAGAATGTACGGTTTCAAATTAGTCAGAAATCTTTTTGAATAACTCAAATTAATTAAGATAAATGTTATTGACTACCGGAAATGAATTTCTCAAGCAAATTAAATTCGTTAATCAAAGTTTATTTCTGAACAGCTTTGCATTGAAAACATTTCATCAATTTATTGAACATTACTTAAATTCATAAAATCCTGCAGCACTGCCTAGAATGGGGATTATATAAAATAATATTCTTGTAAATCCAAGAGTTTTCATTATGCATAAGTTAAAACAGTTATGTTGAAAACATTTTTCTGTTTTTTTTTTGTTGACTAAAATGGATTGTTCTTCGAAAAATGATAAGAACACTTTTCCTTTCTAATTTAATATAAGGCATCAACTAGGTGACAAATGGGTTTGACTATAGAAAAATATATGAATGTATATATGTGTGTATGTATTTAAGTAAGTGTATAAAGTGCATAATCATTTGCTGAGCTGATTTGTTTATTTAGTACCCCCATAAACGTAAAGTCAAGTGCGCGAAATTCTTCACTTGAGCGCCACTTGAAAATCTGCTACTGGTACTGTCGCACTACAGAATTCAGCACACAATTGATACGTGTATGGTGTGTGTGGAGAGTAAAACTTAAGGATTTTATAATAATAAATACTTAAGCTCAAGTAGCGAAACAAAATCTGCATAAAGTGGCTGCGAACAAATAGAGAGTAGACACAAACAACAAGAGCCACCTAATCTTGCAAGTGGCTGCGAAGGAGACAAAAATCAAATCTCTATTCAACAACATTCTATTGAGGAATGTTTGTAACAAAGCGGCTTAACGTGAGAGCTCTCGCTCGCACCCACTGACAAATGCCCACGCATTTCTGTGATTGGTTGTGCGGCGGCCATTTTCGAATGATGAGAACGAATAGCAATGAATGCCGTTACTTTGTCTTGTGTGTGTGTTTGGCAGGAGAGTGTTGGAATCTGCAGATATTCGATTCAGTACAAAAAACGCGCTGACAAATTGAAGACATACACGCTCGAGTGAGCAGCGGATCGGCGCGACAATTACAGTTACGTGCTACTTATAACGGTGTCTAAGGGGGTATGTTATGGAAGCCGTCAAGTGCCGGTCGATGGTAAAGTTCAAGTGCGTTTTGGCCAACTGTCGTCGTTTGCGTTGTTGCAACAATTACATACATATATACATACGTACATATATAAATATAAGTATATTGATTTAAAGTGTTCGCTCAAGTGTGTCTGTGATTTAAATTGCACTCCGAAATGTTGCAACATCATCAACAGCAATCACAGGTGCCACAATCTAGTGGCTATTATGACTACAATCATACGCCTAGTCCGGGCAGCATGACAAATGCGGATGCCATGAACACAACGCCCTTCTCCGTTAAGGATATACTGAATATGGTTAATCAGACGGAATCATATGAGGGGCCCTATGGCCATATCGAGAGGTGAGTGGTTGGTGATTGGCTTTTGATTTAAGAAAGCAGTACGAATTTAGGAATGTATGGAATTTGTAAAATTATTGTCACAGATTTCTAAGAGCTTTATAAAGAGATGTATTAATTAATAGTTGGCGAAAAGAAATATGTTGTTTGGGCCTATTTTATATAGTTATTGCCTTTTTTTTTGACGAAAATCAAAAGTTTTTATTCAAATTTCAAACTTCAAATGTTTTGTAACACAATAATCTTAATCGTAATTTCTCAGTCATTTAAATGAATACAAAAGCAATAGATCTGAAATCTACTTAAACGTCTTGTGAGCTTAATATATTAATAAATAACTAGATCGAAAAAACCGTAAATAAATAAATTGGTGTCTGTTCAAATGTTTGCAATAGATTTTGATATCCTCCCAGAATATGGTTACATTACTTAGAGGTAATTTAATAGGCAATGTCTCTATGATGTTTATAAGACTCGAGTTCGGGGAAATAATAATTGAGGGGGACGTTTTTCTATGTTAACATATAAGTATACATATTTCAAATATTTATATAGTTATTTCCTGCACTAGTGTTCTAAGCGAGGCTTATCTATAAAAGGCAACATATATCGCGACTTAAATAAAATAGAATTCATTACAATTATTTCTCTTAACAGCAGCTTAGAGCAATAAGTTAGTGGGGTATTTCTAAACTTCAATGCAGCAATGAGACGCAAAAACATATTATTGTATTTGATGGGCAAGTTATATTTTTGTTATTTCAAGAGAGCATTTACAACTAAATAAAGAGTTAAAATTTCAAGTAAATATTCAGACAACAAATTCCTTCGCACTCACCTTCTTAGTTACAACATTATTTTAAAGTCGTTATTGAGACCTTTTTAAAGCAAAGTAAACCTGTTGACTTCGCATAATCTTGTTCTTAATCACAATCTTTAAATTTACCTGCCCGAGAGTAATTTTTGCCTTTTCTGTTTCAAAGAAAAAGAAAAAAACCCAACCACTGTCGATTTATTTATTTTTAATAAGGGTCCCATATGAAAATTAATTTCTACCAATTTTCCACTAAAAAACAATATTATTGTAACATTCGGCTGAGACGGCAGGCGACGGCAGAAGAAATCCTATAAAAACATCCACATAGTGAGCATGAATTGCAAATAGAGTTGAAACGAGGGGTCCCTCCCAGTAGTCAGCTAGCGCTAGAGACTAGGAGACTAGAGATCGTTGGCTGCACTTTTCACGAATCATCCTTATTTGTATAAGCAGCCGCACACACACACAGACACAGACAGACAGACAGACAGACAGAGAGACAAAGTGTTAACAATAAGAAAAACAAAGTCAAAGGACGAAGGAAGGCAAACAGGCAGGCAGGCAGCCAGGCAGGCGGTCAGTTGGTTAGGCAGGCTGGCAGGCAGGCAGTCGGCCCAGGAGGACTTCAGAAATCGCCGGGCTGGTCAACATATGTGATTCGCATGTGTGTGGACATGCGCAGCGCCTCTAGTTGCCACACCAGGGGTGTCCTTAATTCTGATGAGGCATGAAATGATGTCACCAAAGAGGTCCGGAAGTAGGCAGCGCGTCCTTTTCGTTTCATTTTCTATATTTTGCAATTTACAAAATTGGACGTCTTGCTGCTTTTATATGCAACATGTGCTGCACATTAACGTGTTGCAGCAGCAGCAGCAGCAACAACAACAATAATCGTTAACGGATTTTTCTGCTTGCAGCGCAGCGACGGCAGCAGCGCTTTACGGCGCCACTGAGTACCACCAATCTCAGTCGCATTCTCAGCAGCAACAACAACAAGCACAGCAACAACAACAACAATTGCAACACATGCCGGAGCATCAGCAGGACACAACAATATTGTCGCCTATCCTGGCGCCACATGGTCACCATCAGCTTTATGCCGCAGGCTATCAGGACTACGGCTATCAGCCCGCCTACAATATGGCGCCCCAGTTCTATGCGGGCCCCACGTCGGGCGCCTATCAGAACACCAGCTACGGCAACTACGGCTATACACCGCCTACGGACGCCTATGTCGCACCCATGCCCGCCATTCCCCACATCAAGAGCGAGTATATACCCACGCCCTATGTCACGCCCTCGCCAACCCTAGATCTGAACAGCTCCGCGGAGGTGGAAACCCACCATACGCCGGCCTACAAGCTCAACCCTGCTGGCATCGGCTCTGGCGTAGGGATGTCGCAGGGTCTGTTGGAGTCTGCCGGTACTTCGACAGCCCTACGCAACATAACCGGCGCTATACCTTCCATGCAAATCGGCGGTTCCGTTGAGTGCGCCAAGCGAAGTAAGTCAAACTTTTTAATAATAATTCAATTATTATATCTGGAGAGGTCGTTAAAATGTTAGGCATTTATAGATTTTGTATAGATTGTATTGGTTATTGGTAAAAATAACATCCCAACACTATATTTTGCTATCTAATATTATTGACTGAATATAGAATTAATAGCACATTCCAAATATGGAACCAATCTGTACCTAGTTCCTTTGGAATTAAGCGTTCATACAGCGATGTCCGATGTGATTGATTCCTTTATATAATTTGCAAGCCAGAAGAATTCTCGATGTAATTTCATTTTGATTTCATAACAGAATACTTGTACATTGGAAAGATGGGGATATTTAAAAATATTAAGCAATCTTTAGAGGTTTGGTGGGAATTTTAACTGGATTACAAAAAATACTGAACTAATCATTTTAAAGGCAAGAAAACCTAACTGTAAACGTTTACTTTCTTATACAGAAAGATGCAATTTCGAGCTAGAATTCATGCTATTGATACTATGGTCAGACATGCAAATAAATTGCACTAGGCTTTTAAAAAACTATAAAAAATATATACCTAAGATGTTTGTTATACAGAAAGCAATATCTTCCCATAAAGTATATATACCAGGTATAATCTTCTTAAGACCTTTCAGTTTATTTTCGAAATTGCATATTAATATGAGAACTATGTACGTCGATTCCAATGTCCATTCGAATGCCTATTATATAGTAATGTCTCTTTGAGAGCATGTTCTAATATCTATTATAATGTCTTATACGGCTCTGATTCAGGAGATCTACTCATCTCTTAAGTGCAGCTGTACTGATCTCCTCGGGCAGGTATTATAGATTAAAATAGTCTTTAAAATAATACCATTCAGCATTCGAAAGAACTAAAATAATTTGTAAAGTAGAATGTTATCATGTTCTGTATTCGTAGATGAAAGTTCTTGAAAAATTTTTACTATCCTAATTAGTATTTATAGAGTTACATAGATTAAAGTTTTTCATATTTTTTTCAAATTCACAAAAAAGCATAAGGAAACCTTTTTTCTTTTGTTTCTCCTCTGAAAACAGAGAAATTTGTGTGCAAATAATTTGCCTGTCTGACCATTATTTTATTTCTTCTTTATTTTCCTCTATGACTAACCTCAACTAAAAATGATCTTTACTCTTTCAGAGGAAACTGTTCAAGTGACCAGTTCTCGGTCCGAGCTGCGCAAAAGCAACAACAACTCCAACAACAATAACAGCAGCAGCAACAACAACAACAACAACAGCAATCCCTCCAAGCCGCGCATGAAACGCAAACCGCGGGTGCTCTTCTCCCAGGCCCAGGTTCTGGAACTGGAGTGCCGTTTTCGACTCAAGAAATATTTAACTGGCGCCGAACGTGAAATTATTGCTCAGAAGCTAAATCTGTCGGCCACACAAGTGAAGATTTGGTTTCAGAATCGTCGCTACAAGTCGAAGCGCGGCGATATTGATGGCGAGGGAGCCGTCAAGCTTTTCAAAATCAAATCGGAACCAAACACCTTGCCTCCACCCCCGCACATGTTGTGGGGAGCAACCGCCTCGCAACAGCAACATCAGCAGCAACAGCAACAGCAACAACAATTGCACTTGCAGTGACAAAAATGTTTGCTTTTATTTCTAATTTATTGCAATTTTACACACAAATCTCTAATATTTAGTTAAAGCATAAACGCCTCATAACTCTAGTACCTTGTTGTATCGTATTGTATCTTATTTGTACATAAAATTGGACAATAAATCAAATTTAAGCAACACACTACAAGGTGCTTTTTATTGTCGTCTTGAATGATCATGAATGATCTTGAATAATTAAGCTTCTGAAGATCTTACATTCTAAAAACTAAGACTTCTATCTTTTTCGGCAGAAGTCGAATCCAAAACGCGATTTATAAAAGATAGAAGTTTTTTAAAACTTGTCAGTCTAAGTCAGCCAGAAGTGAAATTTATAAATTGCTTTGTTTTTTATTTTAGTTTGAAAATTTTGTTTGATAAATGTTTCGATAAGAAACTAAAAGACACTCTTTTAAGGCTCTGATTTTTTAATTTAAGATCGACCTTTGCGATTTTGGATTTGAAGAAATTTGTGATTGACACAGAATATACAGAACTGTTGGGTATATTTGGTTTAAAAGGGTCATTAAAATCTGGCACAGCTATTTAAAATTTTATCTATATATATTTCGATAAATATTTAGTGGTTTTTTTTTCGTAACATTTCTGATTGATGCCCATATTTGATATGTAAACAGAACTACTTATAATTAAGTCTATACTTATCAAAAATCCATCTCTCTTTAATTCATATATACAGATCAAGATCGTCATACTGATCGTCATACTGATTAATATTATTTCCAGAAAAAACCCATGATCATCAATTGAGAAACAAAAATGGGAACTTTCTGGCTCCCATAATTTTCAAGACTCTTCGATTCATATATACAGATCTAGATCGTCTTACTGGTCCTCATTTATTATTAGCTAGCTGAGCATAAAGTTCGTTTACTATCCATCAATAAATATAATATTATTTCAATAAATATAATATTATTTCACGAAAAAACATATGATTATCAATTGAAAAACAAAAATGAGAACTTTCTGGCTCCCATAATATTCTAGACTCTTCGTTCCATATATACAGATCTAGATCGTCTTACTGATCCGAATTTTATTCGCTAGCTGAGCACAAAGTTCCTCTACTATCGATCAATAAATATAATATTATTTCTAAAAAAAAACACATGATCATCAATTGAGAAACAAAAATGGGAACTTTCTGGCTCCCATAATTTTCAAGACTCTTTGATTCATATGTACAGATCTAGATCGTCTTACTGATCCGAATTTTATTCGCTAGCTGAGAACAAAGTTCCTATACTATCGATCAATAAATATAATAATATTTCTAGAAAAAACCCATGATCATCAATTGAGAAACAGAAATTTGAACTTTCTGGCTCCTATAGTTTTTAAGACTCTTCGATTCATATATACAGATCTAGACCGTCTTACTGATTCTCATTCATTATTCGCTAGCTGAGCACAAAGTTCCTATGCTATCGATTAATAAATATAATATTATTTCTAAAAAAAAACACATGATCATCAATTGAGAAACAAAAATGGGAACTTTCTGGCTCCCATAATTTTCAAGACTCTTTGATTCATATGTACAGATCTAGATCGTCTTACTGATCCGAATTTTATTCGCTAGCTGAGAACAAAGTTCCTATACTATCGATCAATAAATATAATAATATTTCTAGAAAAAACCCATGATCATCAATTGAGAAACAGAAATTTGAACTTTCTGGCTCCTATAGTTTTTAAGACTCTTCGATTCATATATACAGATCTAGACCGTCTTACTGATTCTCATTCATTATTCGCTAGCTGAGCACAAAGTTCCTATGCTATCGATTAATAAATATAATATTATTTCTAAAAAAAACACATGATCATCAATTGAGAAACAAAAATGGGAACTTTCTGGCTCCCATAATTTTCAAGACTCTTTGATTCATATGTACAGATCTAGATCGTCTTACTGATCCGAATTTTATTCGCTAGCTGAGAACAAAGTTCCTATACTATCGATCAATAAATATAATAATATTTCTAGAAAAAACCCATGATCATCAATTGAGAAACATAAATGGGAACTTTCTGGCTCCCATAATTTTCAAGACTCTTCGATTCATATATACAGATCTAGACCGTCTTACTGATTCTCATTCATTATTCGCTAGCTGAGCACAAAGTTCCTCTCCTATCAATCAATAAATATAATAATATTTCTAGAAAATTTGTGTGTGAGTTATGCCATAGCCACTGTACCTATATTTCGCCCATTAATATATATGTGTATGTTTGAATACGTATATATCAGACATAGCCACCGATCCATTAGCCACCGCATCTGCGTATAATTGTTGTCGATCGGCGCATAAATCAATTTTATCAAAACCAAACGATCAGTTTTATGAAAAATGGAAAGGCAGCAAACAACAATTTCCGTTTTTATTCCACAGGCGTATTTCTTTTTCCTATTTTCTTCATCTTTTTTGCTTTTGCCTTTGCATTTGCCCCTCCAATTGGGGTTAAGGGGGTGAAGAGTGTGAGCGGTGGCTGCGACTGTGGCTGCAGTTTCGTCGGTGGCTCTGGTGGCGGCGCAGATATTACAAAGGTTGCTTTTATGGAAACGTTTAAGTGGCTCGACAGGGCAGGACAGGGCAGGGCTACTCGCAAATGCAACTGTAAAATGTTTTCCAATGCTCGGGCCAGGGCAACAGCAACTCATTGGACTCGACATTTATGACAGCCAGGGAATGTGGAAGCAGGGGAGTGGTGGAGTGGGGGAGTGGGGGAGTGTTGTGGCTGCTGCCGGAGTGGCATATCAATTACTCCACAAACATATGCCAGGCGCGGGCAGCAAGTGCAGCTGAGATCACACTCTGGGGTCGCGTTTTGAGTTTCAGAAGTTTTGACAGCATGAACTTGTTCCTATCACGAATAACTATGTGTGTGTGTGTGGGTGAAATGTCAATCACAGCGATCACGCTTATAGTACGATAAAATGGGACAATTAAATAGATATTGTCAAAACGGGTATTTCCTAATAAAAAATATAGAAAATTGCCCTCAAAAACAACTCCGCCACAATAGTCCTCTTTTGCGATATTTTCTAAAAACCATTGCCCTTTTTTAACCGACTCAAAAAAAAAGAGGACGCTTTTTTTTATTTTTTTATTTTTTATGAAATATGTATCTTTGTCGTGGATATTAATAATATAATTTATAATTCGAAAAACCTATGTCATGGATATTCGGAAACTAAACACCCTTAAAAACAACTACAGCGTATTATATAATTCATAATATGAAATAAATTTGTCATCGATATTAGCAAACTATTTAAAAACCCCTTAAAAATAACTACAGCTTAGAATAAAATTCATAATATGATATAGTGTTGTCGTGGATATTAGGAAACTATTTCTTAAAAAAAAGTTAGTTAATTGTTTAATTCGCCCTATACTTTAATTTTTTTGTTAGTTTTCTAAATGAATTTTATAGTATTTTTATGAGCCATAAGATTGGAATTTATGAATAAATGTAGAAACAATAGTTTCCAGATTTGTAGAAAATTTCACCTAAAAACTAGAAATATCCAATTGACTTAATCGCCCTAAATTTGCACAAAAACCTGTTTCCAGTTTCCTTAAATTAAAAAAATCATGTATTTTTTTAAATGATTTAATGAAAAACCATTTTTTTTTAATTTTTTAAGTCTAGAGAAGGCGAACTTTAACCAACAAAATACTGAAAGAAGTATGTCAATAAATGTAGAAACAATAGTTTCCAGGTTCCTGATTTGTAGAAATTTTGTCCTAAAAACTATAAATATCCAATTGACTTAATCGCCCTAAATGTGCACGAAAATCCATATTTCCAGTTTCAATTTAAAAAAATCATGTATTAAAAAAATCAATTAAAAAAATCATGTATTTTTTAAAAATTATTTAATGATGATAAATATTTTTTTAAATTTTTTAAGTCTACAGAAGTCATTTTTCTGAGCGAACTTTAATCAAATATTGCCAAATAGTGAAAAAAGGGTGACAAAATATTTTCTTTAATCTCTAAACTGTTTATATGTAGACCGGCTTAATCCTTCTGGATGGATATAAAATATCTTTTAAAAATGTTGCTAAAAATGCCGATTCATCCCATGGAAATGAAAGACTATATAAATGGTATAATCAAAATTGCGAAAAACGGAAATAAAGCTAATAAAGTAGTTTACAAATTGAAGAACAATATCTGGGGCAGGCGAAAAATTTTTATTGAAGGTGGAAAAGAAATAGTTAAATTTTATTAATTAATTTTAATTTTTTGTTCATCAAAGGCTTATTTAACAAATTTCTGAAAATCAATAAAAACTTTATAGGAATGTAAACAGGACTATGGCATAGTTTAGAATTCAAATTTTGCGCTAATTTAGAGTCAACTCCCATTGAAGACTTTAATAGATCGAAGATATAGAATTAAAACAAAACTCAATCGAAACTGGATTGAAAGAGCAAAGTAGAGTGGTTTGTTAATAGGAGAGGCTTTCAAAAGAAAGAGAGTTTCATCAAAATACAGTGGTTAAGATAAAAAGTGATTAACGATAAAGATAGCTAATCGATCAGTCGATCGATTCATGTAATAAAGTTAATTAGTAGGAAAAAAATATTTAGTTTCACAAAAGTATTAACATACTTATTACAATAAAAAGAATTTAAAAGACAAATGTTTCATATTTTAATGGCAACTCACTTTTTCGTTTTAATAGTATTCGTAAATTATATCTTAAAAGTTATAATTTTTTGATAATTAATTGATTTCTTAATTTGTTGACTGTCTTTTCACAAATGCTAAAATGCTTTTCTTGGAACATATTTACATATTTACGTACTTATAAGCTTTTATTTGAGAAATATTTAACTATCTAAGAGGCAGTCCTAATCAGCATCCTAGGGCTATGACTTCCCAGTTGGTAGTACATCCGGTCATGGGCGTAGTCAGAATTTAGTCCAGGAGGTCAAGAT